CGTGGCAGCTGGTTGCCCAGTCACCGCGCCAACCGTGCATGAAGTGACAAGAAAATAATAAATATTTATTTATAAATGACCATTCTTTATATCTACAAAACTAATGCTTGTCGATCACACATCTATCACAACACAGTTTAAAAAAAATGTCTTAAATTACAAACAACATTATAAATATCATTATTTTGAACTTAGTTCTGTATTTCTAGAATTTACTACACACTCCTAGGTCTAGGACCTTATAGAAAATAGGTTATAACTTAAAAAATGTTGCTATTATAATGGAATGTCAATTTTAAATTTATTGTCAGGTCAAAAATATTTTTAAAATCTTATATACATAAAAGAAAGTCGTGTTAGTTACACCATTTATAACTCAAGAACGGCAGATAGATTTGGCTGAAAATTGGTAGGGAGGTAGCTTAGAGCCAGGAGACCGACATAGGATACTTTTTAACCAATTTTTTTTTTTACTTTTTACCGAAAATCACGAACGGGGACGGGAAAAAATGGGATTACGCGTACGAAGTCGCGGGCAGAAGCTAGTTAATTATAAGAAAATGGTGTATAAACGTTACCTAAACAACGTTCGATCTTCAAAAACGGAACACACGCACACATGAATACGTTGACAACGCAACGCGATTCTGTGGTAAAATGAGACTAATTTTCCAATTTTCAGTGTGCCACCTAACCTACCGACACCTTTTTAACTTACAACATCATTGTTTTTATAAGTAGATGCAGACAGAAACATATCGAGGGGTAACGGGCTATTTGGTTTAAGCGACATTTTGGGCGATATTGAGTTATATATATATTCGGAATCAGCGAATTTTTCTCCGTCGAATGATGCCGGTTTCATTAAAATTGGAGCACTTTTTTGGCGTTTCAAACAATTCTATTTTCATGTTGTTTCCAAAGTGGCAGTGTATTAAACGACATGGATTTCGCATTTTTTATTAAATTATGTACTTGAACCATACCATCATATTAATAACCGAGACATAAACCAGTCACCCTATCTCTAATTATTAAGTCAACATGAGTTAAAGCGTTTTTCTTGTTTCTAATTTTTATTAACAAGTAACTTGAATCATTTTGACTTCCCACTAATCACACGGTGTGATGTCGCTTAAAACATTTGTCCGTCATCCAAATGCGTCATGGTACGTCTCTTAAACATTTCTAGCTGCCTCTATTTTCTACGCAGGGTGCTACTTAAACCAAATAGTTGTTTTCGTTCAGATATTTTGTTTAGTCATAAACCATTTAACCCTCATTTTTTTTTAAATGCATGTCGTTTTATACAGACGATAACATTGATAATGAATATTGAAACATTTTTCCAGTATTCATAGAAATACGAGTCGGTCTTTCAATCACTAAGTTTTAATATGGTACATTTCAATCATGTCATATGATACCATATTTATTTCATCGCCCTGGTGTTAAAAATCGTTATCATCCAACTGGACTATCGTGCGCTGGCGCTTCAGTCACTCCAGAGTGCGCCGAAGACAGACGGGACGCGCACACACCGCCAGTGTTTACGTAAAACGCTCATCGAAATTGAATCCTAAGTACTTTAATTTCAAGATGAACTTTGGCAACAATGACAATTTAAGGGCTATTGTGGAGGTTGATGACATACAATCTACGGCTGATTTAGCAACAGCTTTCGACGTTAGCGTCAAAACAATATTGGTACATTTGCGTCAAATTGGCAAGGTAAAAAAGCTTGATAAGTGGGTGTCCCACAAACTAAATGATCAACAGAGCTAAGTATGCATCGAGCAGTGCGAGGGGGACTGGGATGCCGTCTCTCCTTTTGCGAAGCAGTTATGCTAGCTAAGGAGGAGGCGGGACGCGTGAGGCAGCGAAGCGCTGGCTCCTCGCAACCCAGCCATCGCGAAGGACACACCTGGCGTCGGGGATCGCGGGACGATCTCCAGTTACCGTAAGCGCGGGCCTGCGGACGGTGAGCATGGGTGGCTCCCCGTCCGACCAGAAACAGACCCGAGCGTACGGGGCGTCGCGTTCCGCGCGCGCCTCAAAGAGCCATCAGACCACCACAGATGGGGCCCAACAGGGTCGATGCCGATTCGGAGTCGCGGAGAACCTAACGGGTAACCGGGGCTCCGGCTCGACGTGCAGGAGAAGAAACGGGGTGATTTTTAGTCAGTAAGAGTCTGACACTCTTTCCCGCCTCACCCAGGCGGGAGCAGTCATTCGATGATTTTCCACCCTTAAAAAAATGCATCGAGTAGTGCCTTGCACTGCACTGCTCAATATACACAAATGAAAGAATTTTGATTTGCATTGTCACCTCCGATGAAAAATGAAATCTGTGTGATAACCACACGCGTTTAGCATGTTGGTTGAATCCTAGTTCAGCACCTAAACAATGCCCTAAACGAAAACTTACCCCTAGAAAAGTGATGGTCACTGATGGTCTAGCGCTCGCGCTATTCTGATTCATCACAAATTCTTACCAAACGGAGTGAGCATTACTACGGATGTGTAGTGTGAAGAACTGAACACAATGATGGAGAAGCTGACACATCTCCAACCAGCACTGGTCAATCGCTAATCTCCATTGCTCCTGCATTACAACGCGCGACCTAAAGCTGCACAAGAGACGGCCTCCACGTTACAAGAACTGGGGTTGTGAAGCTCTCCGACATCCCCTACTCACCAGTCACCAGACTACTTCTTTTTCCAGAATTTGGATAACTTCTTGGCGGGAAAAAATTTAATAACCGAGAGGCAGTACAAAATGCATTTGAAGAATTTGTTGCTACCCGTCCAGCTGATTGAAGAAGGGCATCAATAAACTGCCACTGCGTTGGCAACGATGCATTGATTGCATGGGTGATTACGTTGATTATAAAAAAAAAATACATGAAAAAATCGTTTAAATTTTTTCATACAAAACGGCAATTTCAGTAAATGACCCATTAATTTAATTGATTTTGCTGAAATATAATCGATATTCCTATTGAAACTGTAATTATTACTCTAAATAAATACTTTGATATTGTGTTGTGTTTATTTATTCAATGTAAGCATCTAAGATTTTCGGTGATTGCGATATATCCAGGTTGTTTTATCAGCCATTAATCGCCATAGATGTAAATAAACATAAACATTAAACGTTATAATTTCAATGTTATTTGTCACATAAGTAAATTAGCCTGTCACTCATTTTAGTCTGAATTGGTAGTTAAGATAAATAGCTTGCTTCTATTAATTTTGGGTGTCGTCACTTCATATTTTTTAGCTTACTCTGTAAATAGAGTACATTGTCGCTTAATTTTTTTCCCTTGTAGCCAATTGTAGTTATGAAGTCACTTAAATCATTTTTCCTGACTCTAAAAAAGGGCGGATTGTATTAAGCGACATTTATCTTTGTAATTAAAGGTCTGCTTTACTTAGAATTAGCATCAGCAACTAGGTAATTTAATTTAAATTTCAATGCAATTTACCCCGTTCAAATAACTGCAGAAGCGTTTTTGTTACGAATTTTTTTTCGAAATTTCAAACTTTAAAAGGCTCTCCTGTAAAGTTGCAAAAATGTCGCTTAAACCAAATAGCCCGTTACCCCTCGATATAATAATATTATTTACATTCGTGTAAAAAGGAACAATTATTTTTTGACAGTTATGAGTTCTACGGAATGAGAAAGCGAGCTTGCCAGAAACAATTTCTTTACTAGCTGTTATTTAAAAAGCTACTAAAAATCTAAGGAATGTCTTTTATATATAAAATCTATATGAAACGCTATATCGTCTGCCAAACCTATAGAGGTACTTATTTATAAAATAAGTAACAGATGCCTGACTTAATATTAAACAAGAATATTCAATATACATACATTTTGATTATTTTATTTCTTAAGAACTAATATTATGTATAATCTGTCCTATCAAAACCCTGTAGTAAACGCGAGTCCTAACAAAAAAGGTTGAAAATATTTGACAGTGCTCACTAGTTGGCGCTAGCGTAGTTTAAAGTCCTGTTAGCCTTATTAACCTCTTGTATGCAGATATATGAGACACAATAGAAATCACATTGTGTCTCGCTTAGATCTGCGTATGTATGAATGTACAAAATTATTATTTTGATATCAGTAAATATTTTCTTGGTCCAATAGACTTAATGCGACACCAGCGCCTCTAGCGGTACGACAACTCTCACTAGGTTAAACTAAAAGTATTCACAAGTATGGTCGTAAGTCTGTAATGTTTAAAGTCAAAAATATAATTAAATAGTGTCTAAATAAGTCTATTCTAAAATTATGGGTCGAATATTAACATTATTTGTAAGAATATCAATATGTATTCCAGGATTTTTCTAAGTTTAACATTGCATATAAAAGAGTACACTCTACATATCAATCTCTTCTTTTAAGGGTTTATTGGTCACAATTTTAATGTGTGATGTACGACTTCCAACGAATAACTTATTTAAATTAACAAACAAATTAGCAAACTAGTTATTTTAAATCCATTTTCTGTCTCAGACAGGATACCGGGAACATTTCAAACAAACGAGAACATTAATAATTATTTTGGTGACAGAAAAACACGTAAGAGAGGAAATTTAACATTCTTTCGTCTCTTTATAGTATAACAAAAATCTCTATGTGGTCAAACTATATAAGCCGCCCGTTTCCACCAACCTCTTTTAAATTTTTAAGTCACCCCTAAGCTAAGATAGGTGACACTTATCAACATTATGGTTTTCAGCAACCTGTAAGTGACACCATACGTTAAGGGGTTTATTAAAGTTCTCCCTAACGCTAAGTATGTCTTAATTGATAGATAGCTTGGGAGTGTATGTTTGTTGGAAACGGCCAGAAGTTTAGAGAATTGAAGCATTTTGTCTTTATCTACCAGCAGATGAGACAATGCATCCCGGCTTTACCTCATCATATAAATAAGCACAAAGAACTAAGTATTGTACGTACACAGTTATGGCTAGATTGGTCAGTCTGTTTAGAACTTGGTGGTGACGACTTGCCTCTTCTCTTCTTTCACTCCGTTGGTCTGTGGTTCACTCTTCACATTGAGAGAACTGTTTCTGATGCCGTAGAAGAAGTAGATCATGTAACCTGGAATTAGGAGATGGGATTTAAAATAGCTATACCATAAATCCTTACTAATATTATAAATCGGAAAGTGAGTTTGTTTGTTTGTCTGTTTGTTCCGCTTTCACGCCGTAACTACTAAACCGATTGCTTTGAATTTTTACAGACGTAAAGTTAGGAGACCGGATTAAATAATAGGGTACTTTTTATCCCGCAAAAATGTGATATTTCCGAAGGAAAACAAAAGTATTGGTATAGATGGCGCTGTGTGTATTGGTATATGTCACATAGGCCACTTTTTATTCTGTCTTTTATTCTATATTTTGTCTTTCTTCTGAACTAATAAAGCTACAGAAGATAACTTTAATAACTTACCGATAGCGAGCCATATGATGAACCGCACCCAGGTCTGGTAGTCCAGCTGCACCATCAGGTACACGTTCATGCAGACGCTCAGGTATGGTACCAAGGGCACTAATGGCACCTGTAATAAAAGATCAGAATAGTATAAATTAGTTTTGATACCGAAAAACTTGAAGCAGTAAGAATTGGGAAAAGATAGAAATATTTCTCGGTCGTTATTCATGATAATGATGATGATGTCCAAAATGTGGTAAAGTATGATCAAAAAACTCTTCTAACAAACAAAACTGAGAAAGAAAGGTTATAATTTTTAGAAGTGTCGCCATAGAACTTGTTACCATACTCTACTTAAGTCTATGACGAATCCTTTACCATTTTTTTGGGATAAGCCCGTAAACGAACTGACGTATCACCTAACGGTAAGCAATCGGCGTCGACCAGCATGGCTCGTCGAATATTGCTCTCCCACACTTAAGTTATTGCTATATTACGACAAGCTATACCCTACGTTTGTGAAATGCCACTGAACTGAACACTGTCCGTGACAATAGTGTTTAGGTCACTGTAGCAGAAGAACGAAGGAGAGGTTGGCTTGCTTCTACTTTCAAAGTCTGTAACAAAAGTGATCTTACCGTGAAGGAGAGGTTCTCGACGCTGTTCCTCGGCTGTCGGTAGAGCACAACAAGTAGAACCAGCAGCGCGGCGCCCAGCACGCCCAGCGCCGCCTCCGCCTGCTCCCAGCGGAGCAACGCGCATGTTGCTAGCGCCACCACAACTGAGGAAGAAAGAAGGAAATCAATAAACGAGCTGGTCTTATTGTATGCTGAGAAAAACAATTATTCAAGGGTTCAGGCATTTTTTTTAAGGGGGAAAATTATCGAATGACTGCTTCCGCCTGGGTGAGGCGAGAGGGAGTGTCAGACTCTTACTGACTAAAAACCACCCCGTTCCTTCTCCTGCACGTCGAGCCGGGCCCCGGTAACCCGTTAGGTTCTCCGCGACAGGGTTCAGGGATAGAGGTATAATACTTCGTAGGAATATTATTACCTAGTATTAGAGAAAATGGACTTTATACAAGATGTTAAAAGTTTTCGAATTGATGATTCTGAGCAATATGTGTCGAAACCAAATAGGCACTGAACTTTATGGACACGTAATAAATTATTTAAAAATAGATAATTTAATGACAATACACGTGACTCGCAACCAATATAAACGAATGCAAGCAGGTAAATAAATGGGACTTACAGAATATCATAATAGTGCACTTGGCGATGACGTAGGAGAGCTGCGTGGGGTACTTGAGTCCGAGCAAGTTGAACAGCTGCTTGAACACGGTGAATGGGGTCTCAGGGGCTGGCTTCGTGGCGTGCAACTGGATGGTAGACTCTTCTTCATATCTATAACGTAAATAATCGTTTACTATAGAACGTTTACAATAGGACTCTCGTAGAAACAAAAAGTGATGGAAGGATGAGCTTTTAAAAAGATTTAAAGATAAAGTAAATAAGTGCTTAAAATAAAAAGTAAGAAAAAAAGATATATTTACCTTAGAATAAGCACACTGGTAGCGACGATGGTGTAGGCTAAGAGTGTTCCGATGGACATCATGTCGATCAGCTGGTTCAAGTTGAACAAGGCAGCCATTATTGCTGAAATAGAAATTGATGAACATCAAATAATGTCCAATACAAATCGTTCCGTATTGAAATAAACTACATAGGACAATGTGCCTATAACAATGTTTCCAGTTCAGAGCAAAGCAAATTGATATTACTGAGACTGTTGGAATACAATGCACCGATATTTTTATTTTTTCATGAATATTATCATAAATATATCCACGGTAATGTAAAACACGTGTCACGTGTTATAACTTATTCTTTGTTATACGTCAAAAAAAACTACAACAATGTTTATATTTTATAGCTACTCATTGCAGTACAGCTTAGAATCTATACAATAATATGGAACTAATTCAAGTAAAACAAGACAGCCATGAACATAATAGGAAGGACTTAACTGCAGAAATTACAAAAAAACATAGTAACACAATCGTGTCAATAATAGTCAAAGTCGTGGCAGAGTAAAATACGTCATTTGTCGCCTTGACACACCTACTCTTCCCACGGCTGTCATAAGAACCGATTAAGGATCTACAGGATTACGTTCTCAGGTAAACCTACGGAGGAGGCCTCATAGTCCAGCACTGGACTGTCACAGGCTACTGATGTATTGATGAGGTTGATGTATAAAATACAAACCTGCCAACAGTCCACTTAAAATAGTAGCCATGACTGGTGTCTGAGTCCTCTTGTTGATGGCAGCGAGAGGTCTGAAGAGCACGCCGTCACTGCCCATGGCATACAACACCCTGGGCAGCGGGAACATGGCTCCAAGCAGACTGGTGCAGAGGGCGAAGATAGCTCCGATGGTGACGATCCATTTGATGACTGGTAAATTAGCCTCCGTGAATACATGGGGGAAGGGAGCGTCTGCGTCCTGGAAGGAAATATTAAGAGTTTAATGAAAACGTTTATGGTTGTCTCAGAAGTTGGTAAAACAATAGATTTCAACTAAAGCTAGGTTAAGGGAATCAGAATTCACAGATCAAAATTAAATACGAAAAATTAAATACGGTTAAAGTTGTTAATAGACCGTATTAGCACGACAATTAAGAACAAAATACAACAACTAACCTGAAGATAATACGGCAGCATCATAGTCAACACCGTAGCTATACTGAAGTAGGACACAAAGATCACGACCAGGGACAGTACGATGGACAGGGGGATGTCTCTTTTTGGGTTCTTAGCTTCCTCGCCGGTGGTCGCCACACAGTCGAAGCCCACGAACCCGAAGAAGCACTTGGCAGCACCAGCCATGATGCCTGCGACTCCCCAGGGTGCAAAGCCACCAGCACCAGCTTGACTTTTGTATTCATCTGGTATATCTTCAAGAGGTATCCTCCAATAGGCTGGGTTACCTAATAATGAAACGAAAAAACGGTTATAGGACTTCGAAATCAAAGTTAATCCTTGAATATATCATACAGATCAGTGTGACATAAAGTGCCTTCGTTAATCTAGGGATAAAGAAAATTTTTATTGAGTTGTCCGGTTTTGGAATTTTCCATCACGAAAGTGCTTGCAAGACGCTCCCTCTTTGTTATTAGTTTAGACATAGTTAATGATATAGTTTTGAACCGTCACCTTATACTTGGGTTGTATGTACCTTGAGTAGGTTAGAGACCAGTATTGCTTTGTCATTAATTAAGCATAGGTACCTACTTATTTGTCTACACGTGGTATCACTTTGTTTAACCACTTTACTGTCACTGTGTGTTTTTCTTACATTTAGACTTTTGCACAGGTCTCAGCACATCAAGCTACCCTACTGCTGCTTTCAATAGTGGATTTTCAACGTTACTGCGTAATTATAAGGTTGCAAGTCGATTAAATAAATGAACAGATTGGGTTACTTTGAAGAGCTGGTGTAAGTACGAGTGTTTATAATTGTTAAATCCTTCCAATTTTATCTTATCAAAATATATCATTGCTCTTGAGTGAAGTACTTAGATTACATTGCATTGTTGCGGTTTGAAATTAAATTCTGACGACAAGAGATTGTATTACCTTCTAATATACTTATGGTAAAAAAATATCTGCCCGATCCTTAAAGCTACTTACTTGGGTATTAACCTGGAATAGATTACCTATTATACAATGTAATTTTATGGATTTTGTAACAGAGTTTAAATCATCCTTCACGATCGAAAAGAATTCCCAAAACAAATTGTAGCTAACATTTGAATTTGATATATTGTCCAGTTCCTCAAAGTCTTCCAGAAGTGATAGATCATCCTTTATCTTTATACCTAACCTAGGAGTCTATACTAGATCATAAACCATTGCGGTCTATATATACGAGGGACGGGCAGTGATCCATTTTTCTCAATTGACTCGCATCCGTGGGAGACGTTAGACATAGCGGGATCTGGATTTTAGATTGGTTAATGACTCCACGTGGACATTGCGTTAGGAAGTTTATATTACCTGTGTCTGGTGCATTTGCAGTGGTATGTAGGAAACTGTCGCATAATTTCCTTATTACTAATATCAACTAGTACCTTTGTTTAAAGAAATAGATCGAATGGTGATGGAATAAGAAACAACGATTGTTTTAGTTTGAAAATGGGAGTGAATTGAATAGTGAAAGAACGAGAAACAATTATTGTTAAGTCAGTGTTGTTTATTTAAAATAGGAAGAGTAAAGCCTTATTTTACTAATGGTTTAAAAAAAGAGAGAGAGAGAGAGTAAGGAAATGAAATACTATTTTTAATATCCAAGATAAGAAGCAGTTCTACAGTAAATTGTAAAAAAGGAAATTGGAAACGATTTCCAGTTAGTTTTATGAGGTCAGCCAATAAATATAGACTGACATAAAATAACTTTAATACCTATTTATTATCGTCATCGATAAGATTTTATTATATTGCGAAATACTTAGCGGAAGGATGCTAGCAGCTACCTAGTTGCTAATTAAAATTACTAGTCAAAACTCAATTATTCGAACAAAGAAGAATTGTTTGATAAATTCACAAGTCTCTCATAGCAGTATTAAGTTGTTAGATATTTAAAACGAAAATTGGCCGTTACAAAGCTGGATATGAATGGCAAATTTGTGAAAAACCCATAATATATTAGGTATTATATTAAATTTTCAACAATAGATCAATTAAGTTTAGTTTACTGATTGCCCACTAAAAAATACCTAGAAGTAATACTTACTTTTGACGGCTCCAGCAATGACGACGATGATGACAGTGACGAGGTTCAAAGCTGTGAACACGTTGTTCAGCTTCGTCGACTCCTTCACACCAATGCCCAGGAGTACTGGAACCAAACATGTTTGATATAGAGAGCATAATAGACATTAAACCAAAAAGATAAGCTTTGGAAAATATGATTTTGATATGAATGACAAAAATTGTATACTTTATCAGTTCAGCAGGCTTCTTTTGGTTGATAATAATGATGATACAGTTCCAATTACAAGTAAAATAATTAAAGAAAAGGATCAGAAACTTACCAGTTATAAGCATAACAAGGGCAAACGCGAAGAAGTCAGGATAGTCAGCCATGAAGGAGATATTGATGGGAGCAGCTTCAGTCATGGTTCTGGCCATGGAGTTGTTGCACAGACTGTCTATGTACAACGCCATGCCTTTCGCCACGCTGGCTGTACCGATCACGTACTCCAAGATGAGGTTCCATCCGATGGTGAACGCGATGAACTCGCCCACGCTGACGTAACTGTATACGTAGGCTGAACCTGCCTTCGGAACTCTGGCTGCAAATTCAGCGTAGCAGACACCTAGAAATAAGGAAAACATAATGTAGGTTATTACGCATTACTTACAAAGGGATTTTAGAGATATTATGAAAAGAAAAAATATCCTATATAGATGCTATGGTTCTCTCCAACTTCATAAGTATGTACAGACATAAAAATCATTCAAAAAATCACCACGTCGCGTCGTAGCGTAAAAAAAAAAACAAGTAAACACACTTATTATAGCAAAGATTATGGTTCACTCAGTTTTGTCATATGCTACTGTTTTTTATGTGAGAAATACTTTATGGTATAGTTGCGTAATAGAAGAAGTATAAACTATTACATAACAGCGGCAATGGTTTTGCGATAGTATGCTCGTTTGCATTCTATTCCATAAAAAAGTATGCACATTTAATCAATACATCCCGTACATATGGGGACAGGTAAAGATTTGTTTATAAATTTTGGGGAAACGTGTATGACAATAGCCCTTCTTAATTTCTTGATCCTCTACTTTGTACCTTGCCAGTGGAAAAACTGGTGTTGTATTTAGATAATTATACAAATGGCTTTCAACACTTGTAAATACTGTTTAATCTACTTGATTGATTGTGTCTACTGCACAGTTTCTCACTATACACTACATAGGTATTATGATTTATGTGATTTAGATATTGTTTAATAAATTACCAATTGATACTCGTCAAGTATTGTTACTTTGTCTTGAGTGGACTCTTTATTGATTTTATCAGAGAACAAAGATTTTAACCGGTCATTGTCTTAAAAGGATCAAATAATATTAATTTATTTATTTATAATTCATGGAGGACTTACAGCTTATAAAAATGGATAAAAATAACAATAGACGTTTAGCATTTGGAATAAATTAATTAATATGGTGTGAGTACTATACAAGATTAAAAATACATACATTCTGCGTAAATGAAAAAGTTAAATATTGAAACAGACCGTGCAGACAATATGATTATAAACAGATTTTGAAATGTCAAAGTAATTGCGTTGGACTTCTAAAATTTTAGAATGCGGTTCGTGAGAAACAGAATATTGACTTTCTTTGACTAATATCTGGAGAAGAGTGACTGTGCACTGTATTATACTTAGGATGATCCCTAAGTAATTATTTGTATTATGTTATGACCTATATCCGCATCTTAAACTCAAAGGGACCTACCTATTAACGCTGTTTTTGAATTGAACAAAAACTAATGACAAAGATTTAAGACACGAGGAAGTGAATATAATTTTGTGGACTACGTCACGACATTCGGCCATGTTCGCACCATCGCAGCCTACAGCCAGTCAGGTATAACCTTGTGTAGGGACCATTCACACCGCTCACTCTTGCGCATAATCACTTCTATGATTAAAAGCAATAACTATATTTAATAGATGTTGAGCAATATGTATTTGTTTACCCTTTTTAATGTTGACGCGTATTTTTATGCAATAGTTTCGAAATTGAGGTACGAAATTAGATATTTGAATTGGAGGACGTTTTGCAGTAGAATTTGATTAATCATATCTATCAATTCATTCTGAGCGATAGTGAATGTTCTATTGGGATAACAAAAGCACAAGTTCAGTGTTATAAACTAAAACCTTGCCTTTATCAGTTGCATCTATGTCTTCTAAAGTCCTCCTTACGAAATAGGCATTAAAATTAATGTTGATAAAATGGAACTCACCAGCAAAAGCCGAGGCTACAGCAGCGACCAGAAAACTGATACACACGGCGGGACCAGCCACGGTCTTCGCGACCGCTCCTGCTAACACGTAGACGCCCAGACCTAGGGTACTGCCGACCCCAAGTGCTGTAAGGTCTAGTAGACCAAGACATCTGGCCAGCTGACTACTGTTGTCACCATCTTCCAGCTGCTTGCACCGACGTAACGCGTTGAATATCCGACCACAACCCATCTGGAACGAAAGAACAATATGGTTAAGATTATGGTAAGAAGAAGGTTATGGTTCTTGATTTAATTTTAGGCCAATAAGTTTAAAAAGAGGTTTTACTGCCATCTTTGAATAGGAGCATTGACTCACACTGTGGCCCTAAGTATCAGATCTATTGTTATTCTATAATAGTGTTTTATTTACTTTTAATTAATATCATTTTGAATTTTATCAAACATCGTTTAGGACTTTTTAGGCAAAAGCGCAACAAACGTTCACATTTTTATACTATTTATGTACAGTCAATGGTCAAAAGTCAACTGCCACCGTGAGTGATGTTCACACGGCAATGCGTAAGTAGTTTCATAATGTGCATAAACACGCACGCGTACGTACATGGATAAAATATGCGTGTGCATGTGTGTATAAGCGCTGCAGGGCAACCGATAGTAGTCTTACGGTGGCAGTAGACTTTTGACCTTTGACTGTACTAAATAAAGTAGGAAGATTATATTTCCTGCAAAATTATAAATGAGTAATCTGCACCAGAGATATAGTTTCATAGTCATGTTAACTTCAAAATGTAAACCAACTTTCCTCAAACTTGTGTTGACTATAACATATAGATACAATGATTCATTTTGTGGAACATCTGTATAAACATGATAACTGCCAGAATACCACAAAATACTTTGACTAATTTAAATGTTGGTTATAGAGGTATATAACTACATACATATGTATGTACATAACTTTACGCCTGTCTTCCATGGGGGTAGGCAGAGACTATGGAACGCCAATTACTACGATTCCTACATACCTCTTTCGCTTCATCAACATAGATAACTATCTATACATATAATAAAATCGTAGAAAAGTCAAAATTGTATATTATTTTTTTATAGAATATTTGGGGCGTGATCTGCAATCGATACCGAAACCAAAAATATGGTTTTTGGAATTTTTGTCTGTTTGTCTGTATGTATGTCCGGGATGATCTCAAAAGGCACTGCATGGATTTACTTCATATTTAGCATGATTATTACTAACGGGTCGGGTCAACATATAGGCTACATATACGCTAGCTACCTACGGGGTATGCATAGTAAATCACTATTCCACGCAAACGAAGTCGCGGGCACTGAGAGTCTACATATGAAATAGTTTTACTCAGGCACGGTAATTATGATATTATTACCGTGACTCAGGTAATTTTTTTTTATAAATAATTGTAATATTGTTAATGTTACTGTGATGTTTAAGAAACACTTATATCTGTATTATAAGTAAATTTTAAGTATGTGAACCAAGTACTTCAAGCAAGGACGTTGAAAAAAAGACGAACATAATGTCGCTTAGAAATGAATGAAGCACCAAAATGTCATTGGTTTATTTGTGTGTGTTTAAGAAAATAACATCTGATGTCCTTCGTGTCAATGTGTGTATGTTTTGCGTGCAAGTCTAGAGGTATAGTAGCCAGGTGCCACAGTTGCTTCAAGAGACTGTATCGTCCTTTTTTTTCAAGGTCCTTGATTTCATATATCAAAAATTGTAAGTCGATGGGTTTGGTACTTAAATAGTAAATAATAATAATAAAGTTTATTTATTCAGATAACTGAGATCCATCGAAATTATAGTAAAGAAATAACACAATAATTATAACTATACTTAGATACAATATTAATCCTAACCTACTAATATTATAAATCGGAAAATGAGTTTGTTTGTTTGTTACGCTTTCACGCCGTAACTACTAAACCGATTGCTTTGAATTTTTGCAGACGTAAAGTTAGAAGTCTGGATTAAATAATAGGGTACTTTTTATCCCGGAAAAATTTGATATTCTCGAGGGAAAACGGAATTATTGGTATAGAAGGCGCTGTGTGTATTGGTATACGTCATATAGGCTACTTTTTATCCTTTTGTGACGCGAGCGAAGCCGCGGGTAAAAGCTAGTATACAATAGTTAACAGGGACTTAGTCCGCTGCACTGATTTTCGTATCAATGGGCAATCATGTCTATCGACTATAGCAGTCAATATACTGTGGCGACTTCCACACAGGCGACTGACGAGTAAATATTTAGATACGTATATTATTAAGATTATGTTCCACGAATTCTGGTTAACAGAGAAAAACAATCTTGTGATTTGAGGTTAAAAATACAATGATATTGGTTCGTTTAATTTAAAAAATTTCCGATACAAAGCCAAATATATAGAGAAGATGTTTCGTATCAAAAAATAAAATACAGTTTCAATTATATTCAAATGATTTGGTCACGAATGTTTTTGTGCGAATTTGAAAATATGCTCCGAAACTAACCTTGTGATTTAGAGGTTATATACCGGAGAAAAGTCAAAGAAATAAGTTATAGTTCGGTGTAGAAATATTTGTATTTATGTTTCAGTATTTTACATTGTCTAACTAATTAACGAAACGTGCAAAGTCATTTTGCTTCTAGCAAAACCTAATTTGTTTAAACCTGTCTACAGTATGAGTGCCTGTATTTACCGTAGTCAAGAAACTTTAAAATACTTTTTATTAGTTTTTAAAACTTATTCCGTGCTACTACTGAGAATTTTGAAAAAACCCAGTAATACTTTGCCCGACCCGGGATTCGAACCCGAGACTACTTGCCCGGCAGTCGCACTTGCGACCACTCGGCCAACGAGGCAGCAGGAATTGTGCCCGGTATATGGCAATAGGCTCACCCCCTATTACATGGGACTCATAACATAAATAGTGAAAAGTGGGTGTTACATTGTACGGTCGTATAATGTGCACCTCTGCCTACCCCTTCGGGGATAAAAAGGCGTGATGTTATGTATGTGTTTAAAACTTACGTAGTTAACACTGAGAAAATATGTTATCTAATTAATAACGGAACCAATTTGGGGTGTTATATTAAAAAACAAATACATAACTAACGAATTCTAATCTAGATTCCTAGACCTAAATGATATAAGTAAATTTACACTTAATTACAAGGCAGTAATGAATGATTTTGCTCAAACCTGACCAATCTATGATCGTTATGACCTTTCATAGGTCAAAAAGGTAGTGTTACTATACAAATTAATGAACCGTATCAATAAACCGATACAAATCGGGTTCCATTTCATTACACAATAATTATAATACCTAATGTATCTAATGAATTAGTCTCGTTCTGGTTAGTTGTGACGTCACTGTATTGTGTGTGCTTACCCTTGACCGTGACAGTGTGACGTACGCTGACGTCATAGAGGTGTTAAAGAACGTTCAATGCATGGTTATTGTCCTATTATATTGATAGGCTTACCACTAATAAAAAAAAAAACAGAGAAACAATGGTAGGGCATGAACAAAATACGAGTAGGTAGGTACTTATTAAGGTTTTCCGTAATGGTATAGTCAGAGATGTAAAACTTTTTTACAAAAATGTTATAATATTTCGGGAATGACATGGTAAATACTGAATACACCTTTATGTCTCGTCTTGACTGTCGTATATCTGATCTTTTTAAGAGTTAATGGTTGTCCAGTGCTAGACAAAGATGCACACGTCAGAATAAATGTAACATTATCTTCTTGCCAAATGTCTATACCTAGGTAAGTCGCATTCGCATGTAATGGGGTGAAATGATAAATGATTCCCCATTCTAAAGTTCTATGGAATCTAATGTTGATTGTGTGACAGAACTGAACAGTAAAAAGGGACGGAAGAACGCAGAATTTTAAAGCATACATTCCTACGATTGATAAGAGAACAGCTCACCAATAAAACACAATTTGATTGAATCGCAGTGTATCAGATCAATGCCGTCACGCATTGTGACGACGGTAATGAAGTAACCACGGTGTAGTTTGCCGGCACCGACCGTGACGAGGCGAATGTGACAGACATCAGAGTGTGATGAGACGAAGTAATGACACATGTGACGTGATGTCACAACGTCATTAGAAATGTGATAATCTAGTGATCATCTTTTTGTCACTAACGCTGGAGACGAACTGTTGTTTCCATGTGGACAATTGCTTACGTTGAGACTATCTAATGCAAGTCAAGCTTCACGAATTTCTTCGACTTCATCTCAATATGTCCCATGCGATGTTAGGAGGCATGAGAATACAAACATCTTCCGCAATTACTGATGATTCGTTTTTGCAAAGAGACAACAAGGAAACTGGACTGGGTTTTTCATTAATTTAGAATTGAAATATAAATGTGGTCAACCTCAAAGGATTGATAAAAAAAGTATTTACTTTGGTAAGGTTCCCAAAAAACTGGGAAAAATCCTGAGAATAAGTGTTGTGGTTGTCTAGTGCCGTACAATATAATGACATTCAAAATTTTACTGATTTGCTACTTATAGCAGATGGTATGTATTGCCATTATAAAACTATATCAGGTTAGCAACCGATTGGAAGGTATCTACAATACAGTAGAGCACAATATAATCCTGTTTGCGTAGAGTAGTGCGTAAGTGGTAGATTATATCGTCCATTGTTCTTTCTAGGTAGGATAATAAAACATAATAAATCTGTTATCAGTGCACGGAAGTTGTCTGTCATGCGGGGATCTCGTACCCAAGGTATGAAGACTGGGATATGGGAAGCATTGTTTAAGCGTAGCTGTTAAGGCATACGCAGAACAAGATATTTCGGTTCAAAGTATAATTACTGGAGTCAGTTTTATTGGACTTCCCTTTCTACTAGAGAATCCTGGAGACACTATCAATCTTTCAAATGGGGATGATGACAGGGTATGAAAATTAAAAATCTAATTAGTCCGTAAGTTAGGTAATTAAAAAATATTAGACACGTATTTTTTATTTTGTCGTATAATAAAACAATACTTAGATAAAACGAATCAAAGTTTAGGAGTGGGGGCTAAAACGTCATTCCTTAGTATAAAATGTACTGAGAAGTGACGTCACGCGACATTTCAAATCAATGTATCTTCGAAACTATTCGTTTCCGTAAGAAAATAAAAAATACGTGTCTAATGTTTTTAAATAATCTACCAGACGGACATTAAA